TGATGTTCCATGTCATAAAGAAGAGAACCTTGTCATGAATCTTTAACGTCTTGTGTAAACTTTAATTTAGAAAAATTATAAAATAATGAACTTGATGTTGAAACTTATGCATTTAATATTAATATTAGGTAGTTTGCTATTCTAGGCAAATTGAGAAAGGGACATTCATCATTGCGTCTTTGTAACTCCTCTCAATAGTCGAGACGAAAGTTACTTAAAATAATTTCATATATCAATTTTTGTCATTATGAATTCATTTATTTATTTTAATGATCAAAATATTAGGATCAGTTTCTCACCCTTCAATTAATCTCCAAGATGTATTAAACATCTTACAAATTTAATGTTTCAAAATAAACTATAAATATATAAATATATAACGTTACTAATATTTGACAAGGGGTTCTTTGTTTTTATTTTGTATAAGAAAATATTCAGTCAGATTGAGATATATTTGTAATATATTAATAAAAAAAATTCCCAGCTAAGACTGCAGTCTTTTGTAGACTTACAACTCAACTTTACACTCAACCGTCCACCAATCATATCCATTTTAATAATATAAAAAACATTTTACACGTGATTACACACCCCCCTACGAGTCCACCCCTCAATGGATTGGATTTTTTAGCAGCACTATTGGAGTACCCTTTCCCTTTGGTACGAAATCTGGACTTCATTATTATCCATGTATGTACTTCATTATACGCATTCGAAGGTTCATAATTTTTTATGTGGCTCAAAAATTAAAAACTTAAAATAAGATTTGGATTTGCATTCATAGTTCATACAGATACAGGATAAGAATTCTATCCAGGTCAGTTCAGAATCAGACCTGAAAAAATTTCTTACCCAGAAACTGTTCTTGGCCTCAGATTCAGCTAAAATTTAACCAGGCAGCATTACTTGACTAGTATATGTAAGCGTTGAAAGTCGTAGTCTTCCTCCAAGATTCTTTTGATACTCTTTCCCTTTTTTCATTTTTCCTCCATTCTTGTTCAGTCTTAACTGTCAATCGTTACATCAACCAACCCATTTTCAGGAATCTTTAACCTTTTCCTTTAAACTATTAGTATCTGCGCTCATTTCTGCATTCACACTTGCAGTTCCACCCATCCTTTGAAGAATAAAGGTGAGTCATCATAATCATCCCTTCTCTTTCTGTTTTTAATGTTTTTCCATGTTCCCATGTTAGTGTGGTGTTCTCAATAGTATTATATAAACTAATCTACTCTGTTCTCAAACTAGTTGTATCAGTGTTCGATATTGTTGTTCTTCGAAGCCGCTTTTAGTCACCAATCCAGAGCAAGTGAGCATTTTGGTTCCTTGTGTGTTAGTTTTGCATATTTCTCAGTTGTAGTGTATCATTTTCAATGTAATCATGCTGTGATAAGTTTGACATTGTAGTTATGCATTTGTCGTAGTGTCAGGCAGAGTAGCACTGTGAGAAGGGAATAAGGGCTGGCTTCAAGGAGGTCAACAAAAAGTGCCATCCCACATCTCAATGCCACAGAATATGTTGTAGATAAATTTACCCATCTTGTACTCCTAGCAACCAATACCCTCTGAAAGTAATTTAGATCTTTACGAGCAATTGATCTGCTTTCTTTCTTTGTTTTTTCAATTGCTTTAAAGGTCGTAAATGTATTTGTGCCGTACCTCTACGATTCTGGATCTAATGCAATTGAAATAAGCATTTTAGATTAATTCCTACTCCAGATTGAAAAACTCATTGAGTGCAGCGTTGATGAATTAATCCCTACAGTTGGGGGCTTCCTGCTGTTGTTGTTGGATAATTTCAGCGGCGCTGAACTCAATCATGTTTTTCGCTCTTTGGGACTGTTCCAACAAATTAACATCACAGGTTTGCCTCTATTCTTTTTATTTTCCTCTTTAGAAACTTTCATCTTTCCCTTGTCATGACAGAACAGTCCAAAATTTATTTTATTATGTTGATTTTCTTTCCCAGACCCTGATGAAAGCAGCTTTGTAGATTTTAAAGTGGGGGATAATTTCTGTATTGCCATGGCATGGGGAACACAAAATAAATTGCAGCATTTTGTCTAACATCTATGATCGTGTAACCATTTGTGTTTATTTAATTCTTTCAGACAAGTCATTATGATCCAGACAGTCTATCACCATTCACCACTGGCTGCAGCTTTGCCCTTGGATAGTCACTCAAACTGGGCCACTATAGTGTTATCCATGTATAATACAGAATTGGAGCAGAGATGAATGGGCCCTGGATGTGCGAAGGCTTTTCTGCACAGTTTGATTAGGTTCTCGAGAAAAAGGAGATAGGCAGAGGCTTAAAAAATCTGGCACCACTTTTTGCATCAAGAAGATTTAAGATCCTTTCACAACATTAAAACAATTGTCCTTGTGTCAAATTTAAATGACTAGAAGATTTATGCACCACGTGATTCTCCATTGTTTACACTGGGTTCACATCTTATCTCTTACATATTAAATGGTTACTTGAAAATAATATTTCAAGAGTTTTTGATTATGCATATCTGGCATAGTCCAGATTTTAGTGCAAAAAATAAATGCAGATAAATCATATATATCCAGGATCAAAAAGCTTATGTAATTAGCAAAATGTAATGAATCTTGAACCCTGTAAATGATTTCATCTCTATAACCCAACAAATAAATATGCACACCAGAGAGAAACAATATGCCAAATATTTAATCCTATCAAAAAATTAATGCCAGATTTCAAGGGACTGAGTATCTCCTGCCAAATATAACTAAAACATTTAACCAAATTTCGTGTATCAAAATCATATTCCAATTTGGCATATAGGATTCAAAAAGATTAGTCAGAAAACATAAAAATAAAATAATTATGTTCCTGCAAAAAGTTGTCTGATATAAATATATCAAAACAGAAACATAGTAAAACGCATCTTATTTCCAGAAGGCCACAACCAAACAGTCCTCGAAATCGTGGCGATTGCTGGATCTTCATTGCCACCGACATGAACAATTCGAGACAAATTGGACTCAATCTCGTCAATAAGACGGAGTATGCCACTATCGCTTCGCTTCATTCTACTCAAGTACACCAACTCCTTTCAGTTCTGGTCCAAAAAATAAATACTTCCCAAACGCCTCCCCGCCCTCTCAATAAAAACCCAACTTCTCATCACCGACCTAATTCTCGAGAAAATTTTACTTTCCGGAAAATTCCACTACTTTCCGGCAAATTTTCAAAATGCAGAAGAAGAAGAGGCGGGAGCTCTGCGGACCATCTACGGTGTAAGAGAATTGATGGCAGGCAATGGAGGTGCAATCGACGAGTAAGGACGATAAAAACTCTGTGAAGTTTCATCATCTCCAAGGTCGCCACCGTCAGCACCGGCAGAAAGTGCCGGAGTCGCTGAAACTCCAGAGGAAAGGCAAGAAAATCTTCAAGGTTCAACGCAATCCGTTAATTAGGTCACAAAAATTTAAGAAATTGAAGAAAAAGAAGCGAGTGATCGGTGAATCTGAGGCGTTGGATGAAGCCGTGAAGAAAATGAAACTAAAGCGAGGGGATTACAGTTGGAATTGATAAGAATGTGTTAAAAAAAGAAGTAGAGAAGCGAAAGAGCGAAAGATTTGAAGATGGAGATGGAGAGAATTCTGATAATAGTGATAGCGACAGTGACACGGAGTTCACTAGAGCGTTACCCAATGGATTAATGGCGGTTTCTACAATTATTCTAGTACACATTCTGACAATGCAGGTACTTCTTGTGGCTGTGAAAATTGGTGCCGAGCCAGCAACAGTTAGCAGACGGTGTTTTCGGTCCCAAAAACATTGACCAGCCAGTTGGACATTGCAGGCTGTAAATGATTAATTATAATTACGATGTTTAGTATATTTTGGATGTGTTTGTGTAATGAAATTTGTCTATAGGTTGTGCCATATAAGAGGGATGTTGTGGGTTTGAGGAGGAGGAGGAAGTGCCATTGGTGTAAGAGGAGGAATTCGAGTTTGATAAAGTGTTAAAATTGTCGAAAACTGTTTTTTCTGCCTGATTGTGAAAAGAGCTGCCATTGTGTAAGAGATTTTTCTGTTTTACAGTCCTACTTAGCTGGCATGGCTGCTTCAGGAGCTTTAACCTCTGCTTTGAGCTAGTAACAGTGGCAGCATTTGAAATCTTCGCAATGATTTAGTATGTAGCTTTTTTTTTTTTCCGGTTACCAGTACACAAAACTCAGTTTCTTCACATTCTATACTAGTCATCGGTTGAATATATATAGTGCAGAAGTGAAATGTGGATTAGATGGGTTACTTACACTTACGCTGTGAGTACTAATTTTACTAGTAAACAAGTTTATGACAAGCCACTTCTGTATTTGTGTATCTAAGAGACCCCTAATTTCTTATTCATCGTTTTGGAGTGTTATTCTAGGAATATGCACATTCTTGTTTCTATGCATTCTGCTATATGCATATTCCTTCCCTAAACTGCCAATGTGAAGTATTTCCGTGCCAAAGCGCCTCAGAAGGATCAAAAACAGTTTCAGGTGATCTCGCAGCTGCTGGAATCGAAACAAAACCAGATCAAGTATTTTCCATTTTCATGAAGTTTATTTAATTATGTACTCAATGTTTGAAGAAGTTTTCAGATACAAAGCAATAATAGGTTTTGGAATTCTTGTAGACGTAGTGAAGCTGTGCAAAGAACGTTGAGCAATAAGAAACTATTCTTATACTAGTGTTTCAATTGCCTCCAATAAAATGTAATTGGAATGCTGGTTTTGTAGGGACCTGAGCAAAATGCATTGGGGAATATACTAGTGTTCTGTCTATTAGGTGGCATATTTGCTGAAATTGCTCTTGACTGGCTGTGGCTCATTGGTAACCAAAGCTTTTAATACTGTAAGATTGATACAAGTCACAGATCAAAACAATCCTCAACCTTGTTGGATTTGTAACTATTGGCTCTGAATGTAATTAGATATTTACTTTTAGTTTAGTTTTATTAAATTGGTTAAATTGAATGGCACATGGCATTGATGTTCAGGGTGGAATGGTTGGTGACTTATCCTTCATGTGTCCTGAATTCATGCAGGTTGATATTCTTGTCTCAGTTTTTTGAATGTTCTTTTTCAAACCGTTCCTAAATACATTTTCAAGAGAAATTTCTATCATAGTACACTTTGATTTTCTATTCTGCAGTCTTTTCTAGCTGGTTTGGCCGCATCAGGAGCTCTAACCTCAGCATTGAGGCTAATAACAGTGGCAGCCTTTGAAAAATATCAAAATGGTCTTCGAAATGGAGTTAGTACGTGATTTTTTTTTTTTTTTATATTAGTGGACAAATTGTCAGTTTGTACTCATTTTTCATTATTCTATGATTAGTTTTGCATTTTGCTTTTAGCAGTCCATAAAAATTAGCTTTTGAACAACTGAAATGTTCATCATATGTTTTAAACTCTGTGTGTTAAATTTACTAGCAAGCAAGTTCAAGCAAAACTATTGCACATAAGTTTCCATATAAGAGAGGTCAAATTTGATACTACATTCTACTAAATAAAATTTATAGTCATTATAAATTTTCCAGATGCTATATAAATATCTTTTTGTCATTTTTGCAGTGTTATTTCTAGCAATATGCACCTTCTTTGAGTTTCTATGCATTCTGCTATATGCATTTCTCTTCCCTAAACTGCCAATAGTGAAGTACTTCCGCTCCAAGGCTGCCTTAGAAGGATCGAAAACAGTTTCATCTGACCTTGCAGCTGCTGGAATCCAAACAAAAGTAGGCCAGGTTGTTTGCACTTCTTGTGAACTTTCTTGTTATCTTATATACAGAATGATAAGGAATTTTATAGAAAGCCACTACAATAGCTTTTGGAATACCTGCAGGCTGAAGATGAAGGTTTGCAACAGCAACGATTGAGCGTTAAGCAACTATTCTTCCAGAATATAGATTATGCACTTGACCTGTTTCTGATATATGTGCTGACATTGTCCATTTTTCCTGGTTTCTTATATGAAAATACTGGACATCATCAGTTAGGCGACACTTGGTAAGTGGTCTTCTATGGCAAAACAACCTCTTTTTGTTTACTTGACAGTAATTATTTAGTTTCACATAATTGTTGGATGAGTATACTTTATTTTTGTAGATTTTAAATGAAGTAAGCATCGAAAAAAAGTTTTCTTTCTGTCTCTTCATGTCTTTTGATTGCATGCCTACCTCAAATCCCCTATCAAACTTTTACCTAATGCCCTATAAGAGTTACAAAATTTCACTACAGTCAATTATCCATAATCATATTATATTTGAGGTTTATCATTATGTTTAATACTTGCTCTTCTATGCTTATAAATGCAGCAATGTGATGAAGTTGCCTCAATATCTAAAATTTTTTGTCATAAAATGTTGAATTGTCTCTATCCAAGCAGCAATGTTAACTGCAGAAGCAGTTTCCATTTTCACTGAAACTGCAATTGTTAACCACATCAGCGTATATTTTTGTTGTGATATATTCTTGATTTGATTAAGAACTGAAAAAGGACTAAAAGCCATAGCTGGTGATCTTTCAGGTACCCACTTGTTCTAATCGCTTCATACAATGTGTGGGATCTAATATCAAGATACATTCCACTTGTGGAATGCCTGAAATTGGAATCAAGAAAGGGCCTTATGATTGCAATTCTTGCTCGTTTCTTACTAGTTCCAGCGTTCTACTTCACTGCAAAATATGCAGATCAGGGATGGATGATCATGCTCACCTCCTTCTTGGGACTCACAAATGGTTATCTAGCTGTGTGTGTCCTTACAGTAGCACCCAAAGGTTACAAGGTTAGTTCACTTCATGCTCTGTCATAATTGTGCAGTGAAGCTAAAATTTCGCATTGGCTCCTAATAAAATGTAATTGGGATGTTGTTTTTGTAGGGACCTGAGCAAAATGCCTTGGGAAATATTCTTGTGTTATGTCTATTAGGTTGCATATTTGCTGGGGTTGCTCTGGAATGGCTGTGGCTCATCGGCAAAAAACAAGGCTTTTAATAAGCAGAGTCTATCTTGTTACTGTCAAGAAGTTGATACAAGTTACAGATTTAGGGGAACA